AGAGAGAGAGAGAGTGTGTGAGGGAATAATCCCCCCCCCCAATATTCATGCAACAAACTGTGCTTTACTCTCGCTCCTTGACGAAGGGGAACAACCAGCAGTATCCCCAGATGGATCAGGATGGTGGTGGGGAAACTTTAGGCCACCCCCTCACCCCATCAATGGGTACCTGAGGGCCAGGAACTGAGGCAACCCTGAATTGGGAGGGCACCCCCAGCCAGCTCCTTCCACCTGCCTATTAGTATGGTTTTATGAGAAGCAATCCCATTCCAGGCACATCCCATTTTCCTCATACAACCAAACCTTTATGATGCTTTAAATTATGATAAGAGGAAGCTGTATACTGAATTTGGTGGTCCTAGCTCTTACCACTTAGGAGTCGTCCTTGGACAAACAGACACTTTCAAATATAGAGTAGATTAATGTTTAACCTTTATTAATAAGCACCTCGATTCCACCTCTATTCCTTTACACGTTTTGTTCTTTTCACGTTTAAACCAATGAGGTTTACCCTTAATTTTCTAGTCTATTGATCTCAGATGTTAGACGAGAGCATCACCTTTCATGACACCATTCACACATCAGCCAGCCCTTTGCGTATTGCAAGGAGACCTGAAATTAGGTTAGCAAAAGCCTGATTTGCTTTTTAACACCAACACACATCTTTTCCCAATGTATAATTCCTAGGAATGCTTGACTTTTCCTGCTGTGTGTTAAGAGTACAAAGGTCTTTGGCAAAAAAAAGACCTACTCAGAGAATATGGTTCCACTCTAAACAGCACCCACCCCTTAGCCCAGCTAGGACTGAAAGGCAACAAGAAGAGTGTGGCTCCACTGTGTAAGGAAATCTGCAAGTTCCTGCATGATAAAATCATCTTCACAAAGGCAGTGTATGGGGTAGTGTTCACAGGAACATATTACCTGTAAGTCTGCAACTGCATGGATCTACTGCACAGGTAAGGGGAAGGATGGGAGAGAGCAGCAAAATGGCCGTGAGGGGTCTGTAATCCACAGGCTCTGTGTTATAGGGAGAGATTCTGTGTAAAGCCTCTGGATTTGCACCACTTCACAGGAGTGACACCCAATTTAAAGCTGTTTTTTTCCTAGATCTTCCCAGTTCTGTTTCCATCTCTCTCTCAGATTGTTACAGGGGGAAAAGGAGAGAGATTATGTGATTATACAAGTGGGTGTTACTGAAGCATCAATTCTAGGGGAATATGTTTATTGAAAAGGTTTGTATGCTGCTGGGCACCTATTTTAAACCTCCATCTCATAGCCCCAGCCACATGCAGTGCTTCAATCCTCTCCCTTGACTGCTCTCCTCCCCCACCTGGGACTTGGGACCTTTTTTCAAGTGTGTGTCTACATTTGAAACAGCTTTGCTTCTTCCATTTATCAAGAGCTTCCTCCCTTTCATCCTGCTAGCCCCATACTTCACTTCTTTCAGCCACTAATCACCACTCTGACATAACCCACTTCCTCTCTTACCACAGGCCGTACAGAGAGAGAGAGAGAGAGAGCAGTATACAGCATATACACAGGAAAGAGAAGGTAAACCTGTGACTCCCACATCTAAGGGTTGCAACAGGAGACTAATGTGATTTCTGCATTAGGTTCTACAGCACCAAGTTTGTTCCGCATAGAGTCAATTTCAAACGGTGCAACTCCCAGAACAAGTCTAAAATTAAGATGCTTCCAAAGGCATCCTGAACCCCCTCTCACACAAGGGGAGCGGTGCCTACCAAGATGGTGGTGAGGAAGCAAGACAGTTAGCTGAGAGTCACGCTTGTGTCTCAAATCCTAGAGTTGAAGTCCAATTCCTTTGCAAAGGGAGTATCTGCAAGCTGTGGGCCCCGGGCATGTGGGTGATTTTGCCTGAAAACAGGAACTTTGTTATTTACATGCCACATTGTTTTCAAGAAAACATACATGAACAAAAGGAGTAAAAACAGTTTTCAAGCTCAGAGGCCTCAAGTCAGGCATTTGAGTAATGTAGATATGCCCAGCACCGAGGGCTTTCTCTGAGTCAATCACGTTTTAGACTGAAATGTCACCTGAACTCACCCCCTTTATAAACAGGGATACAGAAGTGGCTGCAGTAGGGAACTAACTTGCTTTATCTTCATGTGCTTATGAACAGGGGACACTTCTGAAGGAGGACCCTGGTCTCCTGTTACGCTAGCTCAGGTGCCCAGTGCCTTCTGGTAGAACAACCCCAAATGGTGAGGAAGGCAGTATCGGGTACAGGAGCAGGGAAATTTCAGAGCCACACAAAGTCAGCAGAGAACTCAGATTCCCCTCCACCACAGCAGGCGCCTTGATACCATTGTGCCTTGCTGCTTACTTCTCTACTGGGGGCTGAAGCTAAAGAAGGGACGCTAGCTCAGGTGCCCAGTGCCTTCTGGTAGAACAACCCCAAATGGTGAGGAAGGCAGTATCGGGTACAGGAGCAGGGAAATTTCAGAGCCACACAAAGTCAGCAGAGAACTCAGATTCCCCTCCACCACAGCAGGCGCCTTGATACCATTGTGCCTTGCTGCTTACTTCTCTACTGGGGGCTGAAGCTAAAGAAGGGAGTAGGTTGGGACAAGGAATTTTTCATAGATCCTGCCACCATCATCCCAAGGACTTTAGATTACCCTAACTGAACACTGGCAGATTTAGCATGTTGTACTATTAGCACGTGCATAAACATTTGGACAGACCCCCACAATAGCTGGGACACAATGCAGTTGGGTAAAGGATAAAGTTTCAGCATTCACTCTGATTTCTTTACATCTGTGGATTTAAAAAAAAATCCCTTGAATACTATTAACCAGTCATTAAGCCTGTTATTAACAGGCTCCTTTAAGATGCATTCATAGATGGAGCAGTGATGTATACTGACAATGAGCATAACCTGTCTATCAAAAACACTGAGTGAACAGTAAAAAACAAGCAGTAATGGCAACATATTTGTTTCCTTAACTTGGCTAGTACAAAGTGTTCATCTGTATCACAACCATTAGTCAAAATTATTAAAAAATTGCCTTTAAAATAAATTAATATTTATTTTTTCAAAAACAGGGGTGCTACAAGGTACTAAGCCAATAGTTTCAATTTTAATTTTACTTCTGTTCTAAATAATTTCCAAATCTGTAGGGATAAATAAAGGATTAACTCAGGGCCTAAACCACACACCCATTTGCAGAAGGAAGTTTAATATAAGTACTAGTGGTTAGATTCTATGGCTGTGGAAATATGGCTAGACAGTCGTGAAAGACAGATGTAAATACAATATTCATCCTAATCACTTGGACTCTGGGAAAACGAACAAAACAAACTAATCATTTTGTAGTTTTATTTTCCCCCACATTTTTCCTCGCACATGGACTATGATTTATATTCAGACCTCAGTGCATTTCACAGCAAAATGTACAAGGAAATCAAATAGTTGTGCATTAACCCAAACTTTTTTTTTTCTTTGCGCTGAACAATTTACAGGTTTTTGCTGGATGTTAATATGGTTATTTAATTTTTCTTTGATGCCTTCTTACATTCTTATGCCTTCTGTGGGAAACATCTTACCAAATCACACAGTTATGAGTTCGTATGATGATGGAAGAGGCCAAGCCATTTACAGTGGCTGGTGAGTGGCAGATAATGTTATATACACTGATTGGAAGACTACATCAGAAGGAAAAACAGAGTAAGGCACCACTCTTGGAAAATTATGGTAGCTTGTAGTAACAATAATGAAAGACATAATCAGTACTATTCTTAATTGCCAGCAATTCTTAGACTTCAATAAAATACTTATACTATAAAAAATGAGGGATGTTTGTACCTGAATACGGTTTCCTGATATCTGATTGTGTTTTAATATATATCCAGTCTCAAGCAAAATAAGCCTTTTCACGTACTATGAAAAACCAAACCACAGTCCATGTGTTCAGTGGTCACATTTAACTGCTTTGTTTTTTTGTTCTGGACATATATACAAAGGGAGAAAAATCAAACCAATCCAATGGACAGCATGTAACACTGGCACTTCACCTCCAAGATGACCACATGCGCTGAGATGAAGAAATTAATACAAAAGTTTTAAGTTTGCTGTTCAGTTTGAAAGCCTTAGTCCTTGAGGAAAAGGTTGAACTACATTTTCACTGTGAGAATCTTAAACAATCACTCCAAAAGTGAGATTTAATAAAATTAGGAGCTGAAAAGTGTTCTCAATTATTCTTCCAATTCAAGTCAATTCTTTCAAGTATACTAAAATGTTTCAGAGAAAAAAATGTCTCCATGGTTACAATTCCAATCAATTTTTATAAATCCTTAAAAAAAGAAAAAGCTAGTCTCTACATAGCTCCTATATTCCTCCAATGCATGCTCACGTGCTTTTAGAAGGGAAAAAAAAATCTTGTCACAATCCAGATGATTCTTAACACTGATTCCAGGTGCAACTTCTGAATTCTCCTCTAGTTTTCCATCTGGAGGTTAATCACTGGGTATACAAGCAGCAAACACTTTTTTTGTTGACATGGGTACTGAGTATTTCACAGTTATTAAACAGAGCTCAGTGCACAGATTCTCAAAAAAAGGTTCACAAGTCACTCCAAAGTTAAAGCCTCTGAGGCAACATTTCATCTGACCTCTGCTGTTCAGAAAATCAAATGGTTTATCTCTTAGGCAGCTTTTGCATTGGACCTGCTTAAAAGAACACATTACATAATTCAGATAAAATCTTTTGGATCATACAAAAACAAGTTGGTGAACATACCTGGC